TATATATATATATATATATATACACACAATTAAATTGTTTTATGAAAAAATGTTAAACGTAGCAGCTAGCTTCTCAGAAAAAAAAATACAACCCCTCCCCCATAAACCTAATAAAGTGACACATCCAATGCTACATGGTGTACACAATATGTCTGTTGTAAAGGTGTCTGAACTCACTCAGGAGCTAAAAACACAGGCTGCCATTACTGAACGGGGTAGTGCCTCGGGCATTTTTGTTATTCTAACCATAAAAGACAACCAGTAGTCTGAGGAGAGAAAAGTCATGTCACTGTCAGGGTGAATATGGCCGAACCAATGAAGAAAACTGCAACCATGTAACACTTATTGAAGCCTCACATCAAACATATTGAGTTTACCCACTGAAAGCTAAAAGCTAAAAGCATGAGCTGACAAACGACATCAACAGACTGTGCGGATAATGTACCATGGGTTATGGTTATACTTGGATTTTCTGTTATGTTGTTCCAACAATGTTTAAAATGTTTAGCTTATAGTTTTCTAATGTAATACGTTTGCCTGAACCACCTCAYCTAGCTCCCCTCGATGTGGAGGAGCAGCGGCTCTACRTTGAGTCTCTCCCAGACAACTGAATTTCTCACCCTATCTTTAAGTGAGAGTCCAGCTACCATGTGGAGAAAACTCATTTTGAACACTTGTATCTGCGATCTTGTTCTTTCGGCCACTACCCAAAATTTGTGGCCATAGGTGAGAGTAGGAACGTAGACTGATCGGTAGCCAGAGCTCTGCCTTACAGCTCAGCTCCCTCTTCACCACAAAAGACCGGTACAGAGTCCGCAAAACTGCAGAAGCTGCACCGATCCGTCTATCAATCTCACGTTCCATTCTTCCCTCATTCGTGAACAAGATCCCAAGATATATGAACTTCTCCACTTGAGGCAGGACTTCACCCCTAGTTTTGTGCTTAATTACACAAATATGACAAATTGTTGGAATATTGGCTTCTTAATGGTGTAATTATTTAACACGGAACAGTTTGGACCTTCTGACATAATATTAAGAAGTGGAATTCAACCTAAAATCAAGTTTTTTGTTTTCAGATTGGCAAGCGTAACATTTCCACTGCCCGAAAAATCCCATACAGAACAAAAAGAACTCCGTGTTGTTCCAAAATCCACAGCCAGTAATAAAACATAAGGAACAAACTGGGTAAAAATAGGCAGCAATGGTTCATCCATAAAATGACAGATGATAATGACAGCCTAAATAAAAAAAACTACAAAAAAACAACTGTGTCAAAATCTCAAAGACACTTCAAAACCTGCCTGTTTTGTAACACATAAGTACGAATAACTGTAAGTTGGAGAACGAGGCTGTTTTAAGCTGGGAACTTTCACCACTACATCACAAAGAAACAGAAGCAAAAAATAGCACAAAACTGAGCTGAAAAGTTTCAAGAAGTTTCTGTTTACTATGGAACACGAAACCTAATAGATAGAGTTCGAAAATGGAGCCACATTGTCAGGCAATTAGTGCAGCGCATAACAGAGTGCACACTAATGCTGCTGCTAACTTTGGTAGGGTCTTTCTGTAAAACACTTAGCTAGAAAGGTTATGAGAAAATATGCTATACGTTTTCCTTTTTGATAACTTGTCACAGACAGTGTTGGCAAAAGCAATAACAGAAATCTTAACCATGAACCATAAAAAAAGGGTCAAAAATAGAAGTAGCTGTTATTTACATAACAGCAATCAGTATAATGAGCACAGTTTAAGACATCTTTAAAGCAAGTTTATCTGAGGGTAACTTCAGTAGCAGTCTTGGCACAAAGAAGCAAAACTCCAGGTTTTTTTGTTCTTAAATGGCGTTTTGTTGCATTGACTAACTGTAACATCATCACTAACGGCTGTAGCCATGGAAGCATTGAAAACAAGCTGAAAAGCTTGTTGCAGTTGTCTTAGTCACAGTAAATGTCTAGCTTTTTCTGTGAAACGACTGTGCTTTCTGCCTCTAACATCACCGATGAGTCAGTGGCTCCTTTGTTTTTGAGAGAACTGATATTTATTGATCAAACTGGCATAAACAAGACAGCAGGAATAACACCAAAACTCTTAAGCTGATTCACTCTCTGTTATGTGTGTGAATGAATATTGGCAGGTGCAGGAAACACTGATGACGTCAGAAAGTGGAACGTGTAAAATATACGTGGAGAACGGCCTGTCTCCTCAGCAATCCAACTGTTTATAAATTATTATTAATACTAGAAGCACTCTGAGAGTGCAAACCTCCACCAAGACCAATTTTCCCCATCCTGTAAGAGTTAATGCGCAAAAGCAGAGATGGAAACACATTTGCCAAACAACGCACTTCCTGGTAACAAAACCTTCTGTAAATGTGCATATTATGGCAAAAATTATTCATCTTTCATCATTAAATGTGGTTTAACTTATTTTTATAAAGTTTGAAGTCCGTGCTGTCCAATCCAGCTCACTGTTTTTTACAGAAGCCCTGTGAAAGCATCACAGCTTTGCCAATCTCAGAGTGTTAAAAAATAAAATTCCTGTATCCGCATTGTGATGCGGAACATCAACAAAATTTAAAGGTGTGTTCCTTGGCTCAGTAACCACAAGTGGTAAAAATGTCATGACAATCTGTCCACAAGTTTTTGAGTAATGTTGTCCACAAACAGAACGACAGACAGACATWCGCGACCAAAAACATTGCCTCGCCCTTGGCGGAGGTAATAAGGTTATTGATGTAGTCGTACACACAACAACACACAACAAAATAGTTTAAGGTTTTCCTCATTATGTAAAATGGGGGTCTTCAAAGTGGAAGTGAAGACCAAAAGCACTGTCTGGCTATATTAGAGAGCCATCTGGAGCATTAACACTGACCCTGCTGAGCTGCTCCTCTCACARGGTTCCTAACACAGCTCTTCACACTGACTTAAACCCCATGAACAGTGAGGTCACACTTATATGAAGCTGCATGACATCAAGGTCCACAGCAATAACTCAGTGAGCTTCAGAATTTATTCATTAAAGCCATCACTATCAAAGCTTCCTTCACCAGAGTGCTGAATATCCCCTCGAAAAAAGGAAACATAACCATCTCTGAACTATTAAATTTATGATGATTAGATGGAAGAAAACCGTTTAAGTCCTAGGCTCAACAGAGAAAAAGAAGAAGGGAGTTTCTGTCCATTCCCCCGACTCCACTCTTTCCCTCAGCCATCTGTAGCTCTCCAGCTGCTCCACTGAACCACAGAGCTCTGGGTGGGACCTACAGATGGTTCACAACAGTGGTCTTCCTAAATATATTATCATGTACAACACTGACCAGCTTCACCTTGAAATCATTCCTGTTTGATAAAAGCGCAGGGGCAGCGTGCGAGCGCAGGTAATTTCACCTTGACTCATGATACCTGGGTAAGTGCTGCCCCATGTAGCCCAATGAATTATGTATACCGTCCATCTCCGCATTCACATGTGCAGGCACATGGAGTTCCTTTGAAAGCTTTTCTATAAACAAGATCTCTGGCGCCAACGACGGGCACTTTTGCCTCTCTCAATTTAAATTTCAAGTGTTCTTTGAGGATGCTGATGTTCTTTCAGTATCGGGTTTGAAAATATCTGCCTTCTCATACTAGCACCGCTCAGCAGAGTTCGCTGAAAGCATCCCTTCGCAGTGAAAAATCCATTTGTGCGGTGCTCGAGACCTCTAGGTGCATACACGCAAGACAACAGACGAAGCAATAACTTCTGAGACCCGACCTTGCCAAAACCTCTGATCATAGCAAAAAGAAGCAGAAAAAAAAAGGGGGGGAGTGGCATTTCTAAAATGCAGGTCTTGTTTTTTCATTATTGTTGGATATATGAGGGACCCACTTTACTTACAATGTAATGCTGTGCAATACATCCCCCAGAATTCCATGCAGTTCTGGATCAAAGTTCAGTAAAATGATCAACATTCTAWTGGGTGTATTTTCTATTGATGTTAATCACGTGCCTTTTGCGATATACACTGCCTGGCCAAAAAAAAAAGTGGCCACCTGGATTTAACTACCGTATTTATTCGTGTATAACACGATCTCATGTATAATACAACCCCCCCCCCTTTTTTGAGCTTAAAATGCATAAAAAATTTATTCCTCAAACTACCTCCAATTTCCTACAGACTTCGAGATTTTTCAGCCTTTGCAGTCATTATACATATCAGTAAAATGATCATTGGACTGTTCATTTTATTTTAACAACATATGTACTAAAAGGTATTTTGACAACAAATATACACTGCTCAAAAAATAAAGGGAACACTACTGCTCAAAAAATAAAAGGAACACTTAAACAACGCACGCTAAGTCCAAGTAAATCAAACTTTTGTGAAGCACATTCAACTCTGTACAGTTCCCTTTATTTTTTGAGCAGTAGTGTTCCCTTTTTTTGAGCAGTGTATATCAACTGTAGCAGCATCATATGAATTCTGGCATTTTACACATAGTCCACCAGGATGCGCCAACACAAAAGTCAGAGACTTCACATGAGATTTGGACCATCTTCTGGMGCAAAAGCAGATTACTTCCTACTGTAGGATGTTGTAGGATGTAATCTGCTGGAGGGGAAATTTTTTTCAGGGATACAAACTTTTTCAGAACACCGGTAGACGGCAACCATTACAGACGAACGTGTTTGTTGTTGTTCGAGGAGCGGCCCAGCTATCATTACTAAGGTGCAGGACTGATTTTTCCCCCTTTTTTCACATCA